CCTACAAATCACACTACACAGTGAAAGTACCATAAGGCCTACCTACAAATCACACTACACAGTGAAAGTACCATAAGGCCTACCTACAAATCACACTACACAGTGGAAGTACCATAAGGCCTACCTATGCAGACTACAACATAGTGTAAGCACAAAGCACCTACCCACAAATCATGCTACTCTATACCAGTACCATAAGGTATTACACCATAGGGTACAAAGAATCATATTAACAACTTCTGTTACATCAGGAAAGTACCAAAAAGTTTATTCACAAATTACTACATCAAAAAATCTGACTACTATATTAAGATTTTATCTACATACAGTCTGTTCCCTATTTACAATTTATTAACATTAAACCTTGCTTATCTTAAAACCACATCTAACATAACACAAACATCTGAGATGAAGGTATAACATTTACATGACAAATTATTCTAGAGAAAAATAAACAAAAACTTAAGAAATATATCATCAGAAAAATTGTTTTGACAAAAAAGAAAAACAAAAGATCTCGTAGGACATTTGTAAGGAAATGCTGAGGATCTGTCTACATGTCATATATTTTAGCCTTACTCAAATCATGTATGCCATGTGTACTTCCTATGCTATTTTAATATTCCCTTGATGTCCCCCCAGATTTAACAAAAACAACATCTATACACAGAATACAGATGAGATTAGTCTCCAAGGTACACAAAACATTTCATCTTTTACCTTCAAGTTAAAAATAAAAATTTCAGTACAAACATTATACACTGAATAACGTGTGTAATGGCATGATACAAGACAACTACATACAGACTTTCAGAGTTTACACGAAGTTTATTCAAACAACTACCACAGATTTATAGCTTCTGCTGCCCACTTAGTGCTTTCCACCACATTTTCTTGTTCAAAAGTCAGACCACACACATCCACCAGCAATATTTTGCAACAATCCATTTTTTACTTCATTGTAAACACTTACCATTTCCCAAGTTTTCAACTTGTTGTTTCACACACTCATTAAGAGGTGTCTGCATGATAAAATGAGATGCTACAGTCTGGGTTTTCATATCTTTGGCTTTTGATTCCCATGTTTCTTCTGTGTTAAGACTCTCTTCTTCTCCAAAACTACAATTATCTGCATCAGTTCTTGGTGTATCATGATAAACTCTTCGTTGTTTTAACTCCATGGCTTCTTCTTGATGTCTACCACATGAATCACTATCATCTTCATTAACAAGAGAGGAGTTACGATCATTCAGACAGCTTGCAAGTGTTTCAAAATTTTCTATAAATCTATCTTGATCATCTAGATGGCCAACATCTAAAAGTTCATTTTTAATAGATGCTCCTTTCTCATCTTTATCTTTATGCTTGCGACCCCATTTTTTGTACTTTTTCTCTTTTCTTGGAGATTTTTCAACATTGAGTTCATAGTCCTCTTTACCCTTTTTTAGCTGTTCCTCAACAGCTTCTTCAAATGTTCTTTGTCTAATTCCAAATATGGATATGAAGTACACGACAACACCAGAGAGAACACAGACACCAGCACAAATCAACCCAGTCTCTATATCCATTTCCAATAATCAGAAGTGCCTGAAAATAATGACATATAACTTACAAGTGTTTATTTTGGAATACAAGAAGTAGAATAATTAAGATTATTTGAGTTTAATTTTCCCATATGTATTTATATCATCTGTCACAAAACAAAAAGGCCAACTATTGTACCAAATAAATTCTGAAAACGCATGAAACGTTTTTAGTACCTAGTAAAAGATCAAGTACAGGACCACAGTACTACACATTCTCAAGAAGATTGATCTTCTCTTAACAATCCATGATATGAAAGGTTTTGCAAGAAGATAAACAAGAAACCAAAGCCCAGGCTGAAAATATAACCAGAATATCATAATAGCTAAGGCAAATCACCATTTATATTGCACAATGAAGAAGCCTTAACAAGAATATACATTAATAAACAGAACTCCAAGTTCAACACAGATGAAATAAAAAATTTATAAAAAGGGACATTGTTACTTTTGCACTACAATATGACTCAAAAAATTAGTAAAACTATGCATCTTGTTCAACTAAACAAAACTGTGCTTGTAAAAGCAGCAATAAAAAATAAAAAAGCAGTTCTGTTAGCTCATATTTTCCATTTCTAACTTGCAAGAACTAATATTAGGTTATTATTATAATATTAGTTAATAAAGTAGTCTGGTTAAGAAGTCAGTGTAAAATATTTTACAATTTTAAAACTAAAAGTCTAAAAATACAGTCCATATAAATATGGAATATTATTATCTAATATTAAATAGCAATAATAAGCATTTGAAATTACAAATATTGTTTACTAACTTTATAAATTACACTAAATTTATATTTCTATTCATATTTCATATCCATATGGAATGTTTTTAAGTGGACAAAGGTTTTCAAATACTAGGAAAACGCGAAATATTTTAAATTTTCACTATTTTTGTCTTATTAAGTATCATTATATGTCTTTATGCATTCTGTATTCTAAGATTAACAAACAATTTTAAGTGAAACTGAAAGCATCACTGCATCATCTACAGGATACATATACTTCAAATTCAAATGCCCTTAAAATGGTTAAAAATATACAAGCCAAAAATTAAATATTTAGAACACAGCAGTTGCATGTAACAAAAATATTTAAAATAAGTTTATTTAGAAACAGTGTTGATCTAAACTTCCAATGTTTAAATTCAAACCAGCCTACGTTACGCAGTATATAATTTATTTGCCTAACACTAATGGTGATGTTATCACTGTTTGCATTAACTAATGTTACAAAGCCGGTGGAGTGCTGGTATCACTGAGTATTAAATAAGAATCACTCAATTAGTAATACTAATAGGATGCACATCATTGACATCACACTACTATTATACTTTTACTTTTAGGCCTAAGATTCTAATAAAACTGAAATATAATTTTTGTGCTATGTAAGCTACTAAGTTAACATCATCAAATATTTTGGCCAAAACAACGAGAAACAAACCTCTAAATAAGACCTACCAACTGGAATGTAATAACTACAACCGGCAAAAGCCAACACCCAGGAAAATGGGATAAATTCTTTGCCGTCTAGTATTATATGCCAAGTGTGCGAGAGATGACGAACCACTTAGATGATTCACTACAAACAACGCAATGCAGAACCCACCAAAGAAACTGTGTTAAGGGTATTGGTAGGGCTGATTTAATACGACCGTGCTGTATGGAAAGCGTTTTGTATTGCACGATTCTATTGGTTACTGCACCAATTTTGACGTAGAATTGCATCAGGCTTCACACGCGTGATAGGTCTGCTCGCTCACTGCCGGCAGTGTTTTCGATTGCTTTTCTAAGAGCCCCGGGTCACCACTTTATATGTGTATACTAGAAACTTCTTGTGGAAGTGTATCGAATTATCATCTCTTAAAGACAGTTGTATAACCAAAGAAGACAAGTCCCTTAGTTATACAGAAAAACACAAGACTTCCTAGGCATATAGCGTTTGTTCTCAGAATGTACATAACATGCAGTTTAACAAATTACCCATTTTGTTTAATTACTCTTTTCAATAATTACATTTGTGATGTCGTATACTGTACACTATTAACGTGAAAGTATAATATAAAAATTACAAAAAAAATATACATTTGAAACAAAATAAATTAAAGACGGATAAGAGAAAGCTGGAAGACTTACTGCTGGACGAAGATAAATAGTCCTGTATCGAATACGCCCTTGCAACTACAAAAGCATATGGACCACTCGGTTGTAAAACCAGAGAAAACAAGTCCCTTAGTTTATACCGAAAAACGTAAGACTTCATAGACATAGAGCATTTGTTCTCAAATTCAAAATTTAAACAACATGCAATTTAACAAATTACCCAGTTTGTTTAATTAATATTTTCAAAAATTACATTTATGATATAGTAAATAGTACCTTAGTAACACGAAAGTATAATATAAAAATTACATTTGAAACAAAATATATTAAAGGCGGATAAGAAAAAGAAGACTGGACGAAGATAAGTAGTCCTGTATCGATTACGCCCTAGCAACTACAAAAGCATATTGAGCACTCGGTGTTATACACCAAATAAACCTAGAATCATCTATCAGCTTTTTAAACACGTTTATTTGTACTATTCGTGCACAAAATTGCATGTGGATACAAGCCTTTGTTGCTTACAGGATTCCTTAATGACATATGCGTCACCCGCAGAAATTTAAATAAAAATACAATTAATATTGCAATTACTGCCAGCTAAAGTGAAGGATTCAGATCAGTATTATTTATTGTGTATATTCAGTTACTTGACTGATTAACTTTGAAATTGTACAAGTAAATGTATTTGTACTTTAAGCATACTACGATTAGTGAGTAAATGAGATGATGATACTGTTACAACAGCGGAAGTCACGCGATGCTGGGAGCATGAGCGCTGGAGTTTCTG